GAGAATTATATATTAGGAAAATGTTTATATAAGGTTGCAACCATAAAATGTAGAACTACGGATACACCCCAAAAATCCATCGGAAAAGGTTTTTTTTAATGTTGAAAACGTCTCTAATCGATCATCTCGACATCAAGATGTATGAGTGCATGAAAAAAAAATAAAAAATTTGAGTGCCAGAAATTGTGCATCTTGCAACATATTATCTACACCGTCCATTTTAAGAATTTTCATATATTTATAGATTTACATGATTTTAACCATTTTTGGAGTTTAAAAGTATTTAATTAGATATGAAAATAGATTTTCAGATAATCCTAAGAATTTTTTACACCAAAATTACATGACATGATAAAATTTGATTCTTAATTGGATTGTTTAAAGTTGCAACCTTATAGAAACCACACCCAAAGAAATAGGAAATTGGAAATAATAAATTTCAAGGTTGGTATGGTAGGGTAGACCCTGATGGATCATGAGCGCGCGCACACTCAACAACTCAACTTGCAATCTATTTTCTATTGTCAGTGGTATGATAGGGTAGACCATGATGGATCATGGGTGCGGGCACACTCGACAACTCAACATGCAATTTATTTTCCGAGAACGTCGAGATCGCAATCTTAAAATTCTGGGAGTGGGGATCTAATTTGTTAAGGAACCACATCTACAATGTTACGGAACGCGTTCTGTGAGACAATGCAAGCAAGACCTGTGAAGTAGAGGGAGCGAAATCCGTTGTGTATGGGATCAAGATCCATGCTTTAGCGGGAGCGAGATCCGTTTGAATGCGAGCGAGATCCCTGAAGTAGAGGGAGCGAGATCCCTGAAGCATCGGGAGCGAGCTCCGTTGTGAATAGGATCGAGAATCCTAAAAATTGAAGCGAGATCCCAAAAAGATGTGAAAGGGTTCCGAGCGAGATCCCGGCTCCGGAATGCCGGAGGGAGAATCCGGAACGGGAGCACCACCCGGTAACTATTTCTGAATATTGTGTAAACATATTCCTTTCTCTCTCTAAACTACAAAAATGGAAGAAAACCAATTTCATATCAAATTTTTTTTTTCTCTTCTCATGAATGATCATAATAGGAATTGGCTCACCTTTTTAACGATTACAAATGCTTATTTTTTGTGATCATCATAATTAGGCCGATAACTGAACAACATTTCATAGTCGTTGACACTAGAATTCAGTGAAATTAAGATGCCCGATACCGAGTATGGAAACTTCATTGCATTAGATGTCAACTATACAACCAATCTACAGCTTGATGAAGTTAAAAACTTATTGTTCTGTAATTTCGATGGGGCATGTGTTACCTTTATGGGTGCCATTATCCATTCCTTCTCCTTCGTGCAGTTTCCACAGTAATCAACATTAGAAACAAACAAGAAAAAGGAAAAAGAGAAACGGAAACAAAAGCAGTTAGTTGGGTCTGGAAATGCTTACTTTAATCTCTATTCTTTGGAAGGTAGTTTGGTCAGGAACTGCTTACTTAAAATGGTTTGACCTTAGCCTTGAATTTATTTATTTTTTTTAATAGTTTAGGAAGAGGTTTTTAATTTTCAAGGATCATAATGTATATTTAATCCCTAAGGTGAAAAAGCTTACTTCTAGAGTACTTTTGGATCTAAAATATTGCGTTCTACTTTACAGTCTGTCAATATTTATAAAAATAAAGAATAAAAAAAAAATGATTTTGAGTTTCTAAGTACTTAGAGAATTTTTTTATTTTTTATGAGGGCCATACCTTGTTTTTTGGATCACGTTTATTATAATATTGTACTTAATAATTATACTAATTACAATGATAATCAAATCTTATATTTTATTTATTAATTTATTTACATTATAAATTATACAATGTATTATTTTTTGTTATAGTTGTAAATTAGATTTTTAAATTATATGATATTATAAGACAAATTTTAAATTTATTTTTATTTGTATAGTAAAATGATGATAAAATAATAAAATACAAACCAATAATTCTAATTTCAATGTATAATATTGTATTTAGTTAGGTTTTAATAAATGTTTGATGAGAATCTTCATATAGGAAAAAAACATTTCAATATTCGCATATTAATGCAAAAAAATAAAAGTTATTAATGTAGTACCCTCATTTCTTATTGGATTCCTAAAAAACAACATTTATAATGATTTTTAATAATTTTGTTGAATTTGTTTTGAGGCTGAATCTGATCGATTCAGTCGATTCCCGATCCAAAACACCGATTCACCGATCTAAATTAATTTTTGGGGTGCTTGATCCGAGGCTCCGATCCATTTTTTAAACCGCTGCTCAAAACCAATAATGCAAACACATTTCACACAAGCATGGGTCTTAGCATTGTGTACCCCTAAGTGAATGGTGTTAGAAGGGATGGCAAAATTGTAAAGTATATGCTCAATTGGACCTGAGTACCAATTACTGTATATAAGAATAGGTTCTATGCAAAGAGGTGGATCTAGAATTCCATTCAGGTACAAATTAACATTCAAATGAACTACTAGCTAATGCTTTTCTCTCCACGAGCTCCATCCCCTCAACTAGTGAGTCTCAAGGGCTAAATCAAAAAATGTGGGACCATTATGGACCACCATTTCTTCAATAATGGCTGCAGGGTGATAAACATGAACAGTCCTTTGCACAAAGGGAACTGCTGAGCTTTCAAAATGTTAGGAATTTTGTTTTCTTTTCTCTCTCTCTCTCCAAATGTTAGGAATTTTTCTTTCTTCTCTCTTCCCCCACCCAAATGTTAGGAATTTTGCTTACTTTATTCCACCTTGACATGCATGGCGTGGAAAGATGTTTCTTCCACGTGATATTGATGGGGATAGCTCAATGGTCCATCTACATAAAAAAGTGAAAAAACATAAGAAAAATTGTAAATAAAATAAAATCTAGGGGCAAAATAGTCATTTGGGGCTTTCAAGACATCCTATAACATCGGCAAGAGATAGGTATCCTATTTTGTAAAAGGGTATGCACCCCTTTTTGTAAAAATTGAATGTCCCGATAGTAAATATCCCTTGGTATGATCCTGCAGGTCCACATATAAGGCGTGAGAAAGGTAGATTTTTTTTTTTTTTTCAATATGAATTTTTGGCATCCACTATGATTTCACCTAATGACCTTTTCCAAAAGACACATAAAAATAAAAAACAAGAAAATCAACTTTTAGTTCCCTAAAACTTAGATCTAAGAGTTCTTTTAGGTTTGGGAAGCTTACATCCCAGGGTCCTAAAAATACACTACAAAGGATTTTTACATGTGGGAGCCAATGTCTCACATGCTTCCGCAGGAGCACATACTCATTCGCTTGTCTAATTTAAAGTGATGGAGACTGTTGGAATTTCGATCTCCATCAAGTACATCGATAACTTTGAAATCTTTTTTTCATATATGTCCTTTTTTCATATATGTCCGTCACAAAGTCGCAATAATCAATTTGAGCGTTTTTTAGTATTAAAACAACCTTTTATTTTCCAATAAAGTTTGCGGTGCATCTCACTTCTATTGTACACGATTCACACTTTACATAAAAGTTACAAAAAATTCTATCCATCTTTGTTTATATTTTATCCAAATCTCATTCAAAAGCTATTATAATATGGAGAATAAATAGGAGGAAGCAAAAAGAAAAAACTTCAACAAAATTATATAAAAATTTCTTTTATATGTTAATTATGAGTAGCCAAATTAGGAATTATGAAAAATAAGATTTCTATAATAGTATCGGGGTTTTCTCAAAAAGAAAAATAGAATATAATAACAAAAAAGTATAGTGAGCATTAAAGAGCTATAAAACTGATATCGAATGAGTTAAAATGAAACGTTAATAAAAACATCCATTTTTTAATTCAATATTTCAAAAGACCAAATTATTTCATGCTCTTTTGGATCATACTATCCACTTACGTCCTTGGATAAAACCCTAACTACGTATCTTTAGGATCCCTTGTTTTGGGGATGAAACCTCTTCTACGTAGCAACAAACCTCAAATAAATAATAAATAAATAAATTAAACTCACACTTTGTATGTGCATGAAAAAATAACATCCCCCTGCTGAAGAGAGACCCACCCAATTTTTGAATGGTTAGATATAAGTGTTTAAAAAACTTAAAGTTATTTTAAATTTTTAAATTTTGAAAATAATCATCTAGTAATACTTAGAGCCCAAAATTTTAAACCAAAAAAGCCCTCCAAAGTGGTTCTTTCACCGAGGGAGTAAATGTACAATGTCGGTGCCGGTATGCTTCCATGAGAATATAGTTAACTTAGCTACTAAAATGCATGTACCACAAGTCACACATCATGAGATTCCAGGTGGTCTCCATCATAACCGGCCGTTTTCCGGGACATAATCCCAGCCATTGATCGGAACCCGATTCTCCATCTTTATTGTCCCATCCCTGGCCTCAAACAACCAATAAAAAGAAGTGGTGGGCCCCACGACCAATCATCTACTGAATCTGAGCCGTCCAAGATATGTACAAACTCCAAAGGATATCGCACAATTACTGTATCCTTTTTTTTTCCCCTTTCTTTTTACAACGTTCATGCTTTTTCATGTTAGGACCACCCTGGATCTCTATATATGGTCCCGCATGGCCTAGCCTTGAAGTGAGCTCCCTCTTACTGAAAGAGTAAAACCTGTGCTTCTCTTCACTAAATTTTTTCTAAAGCTTAAATTTTCACTTTAATGGGCAAGGTTTCTATGTGGTTTGGTGGAGTGTTTTATGCTTTAATTGTTTGGGGTGGAGGGGTTGTTAATGGAGAAAATGTGATGTTTTTCATATTTGGTGATGAAGTTAATGATGTTGGCACCAATAATTACATAATTTCAAGTAAGGAGTTTCAGGCTAATTATTATCCTTATGGCATAGAAACCTCCTGTGGCTCAACTGGTCGACTTTGTGATGGCCTACTTATACCAGACTACATTGGTATCTCCTCTTTCTTCTTCTTCTCATTATAATTGATCTCCTTCTTCTTCATGGCTATTTTTTTCAGGCCCGTTTGGATCTCCAGAAAAAGATTGCCCATGAAAGTTAAAGAGTACGCATTTTTAAGGCCGACTTTATGATATTTGGTAAAAGTAAAGTTGTATCTCGAGACCCCATTTGGGAAATGTGAGTCCAGCATTGGAGACTTGTAATGGCCAAAACATATTTTCACCTAGAACTCGAAGTTCCAGAGTTGATGTATATCTTAAAATGGATAGTGCAGTAAATGTTTTATAATATAGATCATTTTTAGGATTTAAAACCCATTTTTTTTCAAGATCCAAGATTGTCAAGGTCAAGATAATTGATTTGCAGTTTTGCAAGTTCCTAAAGCTCGTTTTCGATTTAAGAGTCCTTCCAATCCATTTATGAGCTATAATAGCATATGTAATAGCTAGTTTTACATAATTGAGCCTCAATAGCATCGCTCATTTTCTCTTTCAAGTTAATTTCAGCTGAATTTGCAAATCTGCCTTTCATTCCACCATACTTGGAACCAAACGCCAATTTTTCATATGGAGCCAACTTCGCATCCGGAGGATCAGGGGCTCTTAGGGAGACAAATGATGAGGAGGTACGTTTTCAATCTTCGTTTATTTATTTGTTTTTGAATGTTCTGTTCAAATATAATATCAAAACGGGAGAATCTTATACTACGACAGGAAAAAGAGGTACTTGGGAGAAATTTTTTTATCCAAATTTTTTTAATTCCCTTTAAAATCACCAGATGAGAATTTTTTTATTTAAAAAATTAGACTTTTAAGCTCCCAAAGACCAGATTTTACCATAAAAAAAAGTGGACGATCTCTATTTAATATTAGAGTGTTACACTTTCCGGGAGAATATGTAATGTTTATGGCGCTTAATATTGGGTTTCTAAAAATACTCTTATATGGGGGTTCACCGGAGGAAGTGAGTGGATGATGTCATCTTTCAATCTCATGGTGTTAAGGATTCTTGCATTTTATCATCCTAAAATAAATTATATATTTTACAAATCGATTTTGATCTGGATTGGTTAAGGTGTTGTCGAATGTTGTACCATGTCTCAAGTTGAAATCGTACTGAACTACCACAAAAACAGAAAATGTTTATGCCCAATTTCCAATCATACCAATAATAATCTTCTGTTATTGATATGGACACTTATGGCCTCACTGCTCTTATGGCCCTTGATAGAGCAGAATGGTGAGACCACGATTTGTGTAGTCGACTCTAAATAATTCGAAAACGGTTATGATGATAATGACGATAATAATGATTAAATCTTCTTTTCTTGATACAGATTAGGAGTATTGAGTGCTTCAAATAACCAAATTATAATGTGGTGAAAATTGCAGGTTTTGAGTTTGAGAACACAAGTTGGTCAATTCATCTTGCTCCAAGAGAAACTTCGAAGAGAATTGGGGAATTCCAAAGCAAAAAAATTAATCGCTGAAGCTGTTTATTTCATTAGTGTTGGAATTAACGATTATAAGGCATTTGTCAACCAATATGAGGCTCGAACACAAATATATGATGCTAAAGAATATGTTGAACTTGTAACAAGCAATTTAACTGCAGAAATTCAAGTAAGTCTCTTGGTTTTCTTCCTTCTTTTCTTGGCCTCTTCTATGTGTGTATTTTCTTTTATTTTTTTCTTTTTTTAATGAGATTATATACAATAAGAGTCCTACATTTTTTCTGCTTAAGTAAATTATATACGATAAGAGTCCTACATTTTTTTCTGCTTAAATATTTTCCCTCTCAAGCCATTAGATGAGACCAATGGCTGAGGATATTGTTCCTTTGCCCAATGGCCCGTTCAATTTTTTTCACCATCATTTTTTCACATCTAATGGCTTGGTAGGGTATCAATTAAGGGATTGTATACAATGAGACTATTTACCTTTTATACAAGGTGATCACAATTCCTTACAATCATTTGATGTGAAATTTGGTATCTTGAACGTGTCACAAAGTTGTAGAAAATTTCTTTTGAAATTTGAGCTTGGTCAATGAAATAATTGCAGCCACCCAATTTTATATCCAATGGTCGATATTAATGCGACCACCTTGTATCAAAGGTAAATGATCTCATTCTATACTTTCCCATGAATTGATGTATTTAGTATGTAAAAATATACAATAAGGCCATCCACTTTTAGTGCAAGGATATCACATTATCCTTCATTGTTAGATTTGAAATCAGACAATTCGTGGTGTGTCATTGAATAATTTAAAAAATTTAAATATAAATTTTTTAACTTTGTGATACACCAAAGTATCAGATTTGACCTCCGACAGGGTAAAGTCCGTAGATATATCCCACATCCTTTCATGGACAATAATTAAATCTACTTGGGTAAAGTCATCAAGAGTTTCTACCAGCCCTAGAACCTCGATTTCTGAGTAAGTTTTGAGCTAATTTCATAAAACTACGGACCCAAAAAAGGAACCTTCCATGTAATTCTTCTTTCCCAGAGAGAGAGATGAAATGAAATACTAGTCTTATCATGAAAATTTGAAATAAGTTACCTTGATTGTTTGGATGCCCAATGTACATACTTTTAATTTTTTTTTTTTTTTTGACGAAGTGCATGCTTTCAATTTCTTTAATTTTTGACAGGTACTATATGATAATGGAGCCAAAAAATTTTTAGTAGCACTACCAAAGGATCTAGGATGCACTCCTGGCATGCGTCAACTAGCTGAAGGCGATTGCTACAAGTTGGCTACTAATATTACTGAACTCCATAATGAGATTATGGAGAAGATCTTGACTGCCCAAGCCACCAAATTAGAGGACTTCAATTACATCATCTTTAATCAAATGGAGTTTGTTGCACCCAGGATCCAAGACCCAACAAAATATGGTATAAGTTCTCATAGAATGGAAAGTAGTGATTACAAAATTACTTACCCAGATCACGGATCTGTGGTCACGACGCCGGTTCCCGGAAAAATTAGAAACTGGCCCTATCCCACCCTAAAATCCTTATAATTTTCTCTTTTTCTTGCCTTTTGTACTATTATCCAAAATTTGTTCAAAAAATTTCAACCCTAAAACCCGTTGTCCTTTCTTTTTTTTGTTTTCCTTCTTATTTTGCTACATCATCGATTTTCCCGATCTAGATTAGCTATCCAAATCAGAATCGGTAGGTCGGCCCGCCCAACCCATATGTGTTTAAAACTCTACTTTAGGGCATTCTATAGTATGTTTTGAGTTTCCTATAGTTCCGAACACTCTTACTCTTCGGTTTTACTGGTTCGCGAGGTGGAACGATGCACCCTAACCGCTCGTTGATATGAAACAGTTGGAGTGCTAGGAAGTTGTAGGAAACCCAAACAATAGCATAGCATACACCATTGTTTGGTTTTTATCTTTGAATTGAAACAACAAAATCGGTATAAAACAGGCCAATTACATTTGATTTTATCAAGGGATTGTCTACAAAAAAACCATTTATCTTTCGTACAAAAAGGTCACAATCAATCTTGTCTCTTAAATTTCAAAATGGGTCTCTTAAATTTCAAAATGGGTGGTAGTAATTGTGGCATTGAATAGACACAAAGTTTCAAAAAAAAAAATTTCCGACTTTGTTGCTTACCCCAAACCCTCACATTTGACATCTAATGGGTGGGAATAGCTGTGACTTCTTTGTACAAAAGATAAATAGTATTTTTGTAGACAAACTCTTTTATCATAGGAAATTTATCGAGATGTACCAAGACTATAAGTTATTTAATGTTTTACCTTTTTTAAAAAATTTCAAATGCATGAATCAGAATAGTTGTAAATATATAAAATATTAAATAATTGATAAGTTAGGTGTATTTTGATAATCTCCCTTTTATCAATGAGTAGGATTTAAATATGGAGACATAGCATGCTGTGGATCTGGTCCAGATCGACGGTGGGACACATGTGGAGGAAAGCTCAATGCTGAATCATATGAACTTTGTATTAACCGCTCTGCATATGTGTATTTCGACGCTTATCATGTTTCACAAGGTATAAACAAGCAAGCAGCCATAGCACTATGGGAAGGAAATGACTCATCTGTGAAGCCTCTTGCTCTAAAAGAATTTTTCAATAGGGAGGTTTCAGTTTCACATGTCAGCCATGAGAGGAAAAGGAAGGCCAAAATTGCTGCTATTGTGGAACACGCCTCGTCTTAGTCCTCGTCCTAATGAGGTACGTAACATTACCAAATTTGTAAAGCACTGTTATCAAGATCAGACCGGTCACTGGATTGGTGAGGGGTCTAATTTAGTTAAAATCAATCTGATTTCCCCATTGGATGTTTTTATTTAAAGAACAATAAAATAGTTGAAACAATGATAGTAAAAACAGTAACAGTTGATAGTGATGATCATGAGAATAATAAGGCCAAAACATGTTTTCTCCGGTCAAACTAGATGTAGTCAAACTTAGTCTTTGTGCAAAAAAATGACATACTTCTAGCTAGAGGAGATTGTGACATTCTTAAATAAAAGCTGAGCAGTCTAATTGTCTACAATCTTTGATACAATCAGATTGTTCATCTTTGATACAAAGAGATCACAATCAACTAAGGCGGCAGCATATGAAATAGGGTGGCTAGGATTAGAATATTGATTGCAACCCAAGAAAAAAAGAAATTCAAACTTTGTGACACATCCAGGCTGGTAGACTTCACATCTTGATAACCGACCTTGAAGTAAAAATAATAACCTTATAGTATTTTATCCCTTAGGAAATATATCGTGAAAATGAAATTCTAATTTGTGTGCAGGGTCCTTGGTGGCTAGCGTTTGAGCAAATCCTCTTCGGTGCGAATATAAAGGTCCAAGGCCTCAAGTTGGTGCTAGTTGCCTACTTATAATAGTCTTTTAGGGTTTTCCTCTCTCCTTTACTACCTAATGACCTTTGTTTGAGTCTCATATGTTTGCCTATGTTTTACATATTTAAAGAATAAAGGTTCTTATGATGTTTATTTACTATTCTTGAAGGCTATTTATAATATATTTTAGCTTCCACACTTTGGCTTTCCAAGAATTGTATGGTGATTTACACGCATCTAGTCCTTTATATTAAACATTTGTGAAGCAAGGTCACTCTCCAAATTTATTAGCGTACAAAAAAGAGGTGGCCAGCTTGATTTTGTTAGCTCATCAGAGCAAGTAATAATATTGATGATTATCCAAATAAGTGATAATTATCTCCATTAAATTAAACTTATTTTTCCTTCATACATGAGGAGACTCTTGAAATAACTAAAGCTAACCTGAGTAGAGTTGAAGGCAAGAAATTGACCATAGAGGCAAACTTAGCTCTTAGACGAGCTAGGACATGAGTAGAGGCTATGCTATTTCATCCAATGTCTTCTTGGTCATTAATATGCTAGCTTGCAGTAATTGTGGCCTCTCGAAAGAATCGATATTGGCCCATATCTTGCATGTGCTAAGTTGAAGTATTTCGAACAAAGAAATGGATACTTTCTCTGTATGAGGTAGGAAACCTAAGAATCCTATACAATTGATCCTTCCTTCAAAAAAAAATTTGATTAAAATATTTTAATGTTAGATCCAATTTGCTCTCCTTTTTGCTCCTCGTCTATGGCCATGGGACCCGCTAGCTATACAGAACCATAATTTCATTTGGTCTACCAAAAGAGTTAATATTTCATATGTATGGAACTCAACTAGATTCTTTTTGTATTTGCAACAAGTCTAATCTAATATTAGATCGTAAAATCGACTTTCCAAATAACTCTTCCTACTCTTTGGGATCTAATATCAAATGCAATGATTGGATAAATGACTCATTAGGATAGATATACAACACCCCCTAGAAACATACAGGAAGTTTTCTTCTTGTAGGGTTCGTAAAAACTGAATTAAATTTATCAATTATGGCATGAAATCATCAATTGGATTATAAATTGAGTTGTGGCATTGTCATGCCATCAATTGGATTATAAATTGAGTTGAGCTTAGCAAACTCTTGAAAAGTTTAAAGAGCTGAAGTTGACCTAAGTAGAGGTAAAGGGAAGCAAGAATCCGTTTGATTGAGTATGCTATTGATAGGTCTCTCCCAGTCATTATGGTGCAATTTGAGTGATATGATCATAAACAAATAATGTGAGTTGGAGAAAGATCTTCACATTTTTAAGTTAAAATCCATGATGTAATTTTAAGATAACATTTGGCTGATATTGATAAAAATTAGTGCATAAAGGTCCCTAGTTAAATTTGTCACTGGGATACAATGAAACAAATGACCGAAAATAAATTCTCACATGTTCGATTACACATGAACAACAAGAACTACAAAGCACTAAAGATTGACACGAGAGAAAATTGAGTAATAAAATAGAGAGAAGATGTCATCCAAATCCATGATTAGAATAAGAATTTGACTCATTTACATAAGGAAATATATACAAGGAGGAGACCATTTACTTTTACTGCAAGGACGTCACAATCATCATTAACTATTAGATTTGAAATCGGTATTTGGACACAAATTTCAAAACAAAATTTCTCGAATGTTGTAATATATTTTCATCCATTGGATTTCACATCCAATAGATAAAAGTGACGGTGCCCTCTGTTTGTACCAAAAATAAATGGTCTTAGTATATAACCCCTTTGTATAAAGAGCTCAAATGCCTTTTCAGTTTTGGAACATAACTACCAAAACTTTTCGTAAATCAATTCTGTTAACCATCACAACCATTTCATAAAGGAAAAAGTTCATATAGAGCCAAGGCTCTAACCAATTAAATTAGAGCCCACCTCAAAAATTTCACTAGAAGTGGTGGTTTGGATGCTTAAATATCCTCCAATTGATCATCTCGACATCAAGATGTATGGACATGAGAAAAAAATTGATTTCAAAATTTGGAAATAGTGCATCTTGTAACGCATTTTTGAACTGTCAATTTTCAAGATTTTCAAGTTTTCATAGATCTACTTGATCTACAGGGAATTCAACCACAGGCTTGATGGATTAGGGTGTTCACATTTACAGCATTACATCCCAAGTTTGAGTGCCACGATTTACGTACCTGAAAGAAAATTTAAAATAAAAAATACAAATTAGCTAGACATTCTCATCTGGAGCAAATTAAACATTGAAGAATATTAAGGAACTCCTATAAAAACTTAACAACCTTCTTCGTTGTCTTTCTTATTGACAGACCCTTTTCCTTAGAGTCATGCATGTGGGCCAAATGGTGCGTGGGGTTCCCTTAAGCGACAAAACAAATAGTGAAGGACATGTAAGTCCTAAGTGGACTTGTGCTGCTTTGATAAAGTTAGTTCTCTCTCCTAGCAAGCCAGTTTTTTAGTCCAGAAACATGCATAAAGGCAGTACGCAATGGTTCTGAGTGCGTATTTGAATTATGTAACTGCCCCAGACATGGGCTTTTGTGACAGCTATGAGTAATGTGAGAGATGAGGTGCATATGTAGTGGGGGCTTTCGTGACAGCCATGAACTATGTGAGAGATGAAGTGTACATATAGTGGGCGAGTGGGTATTAATAATCGTTGTACCTTACCATAAAGGTTTCAATTGGTGTGCATGGGTGCGTAGTGGGATTTGTAATGCGTTATGAGCCATGTGGGCATGCATTGAGCATGTTTGCAGTGGGTTATTTAACTGTCACAGCATGGGTGGTGGACGCTGAATGTGGTGCAAGCCTCCTTAATGATCATTGCCATGGTGGATGAGTTTGTGGGGCTGTATAAACCTCTTTTGAGGAATCATATGGGGGATCTATGATTGTATGCTATACAAGTGTACAAAATGGAATAAGAGTGTGTCATGGCCCTTTTCTATTGATTTGGATCTGACCCTTGTATGCATTTTGCTCGTTACTCTTGTGTGGCTTGTGGAAGGCTGAACTAGCCTTTGCTGGGGTAGGACTTAGTCTCGGTGGCACATGACTGAGGAAGTGAAAATTTTACCCATGTGAAACTTATCATGGAAGGAAGACTCATAGCCATATGATATAATATCTCATTAGGTCCAGTATCTTACAAGGATATATGCCCCATGGCCTAATATTAGAATTTCTCTTATATCTATTTTGTAGGTTATGGATAGGCTCGATGGGTGGCGCATGACTGAGGAAGTGAAAAATTTACCGAAGACTCATAGCCATATGATATAATATCTCATTAGGTCCAGTATCTTACAATGATATATGCCCAATGGCCGAGTAGTGAAACACTTACCATGGAATATATTTTCATATCTTTGTTGAATATATATATATATATATATATGCTCTCAGTGCAAATCGCTTGGGTAGTGAAACACTTACCATGGAAGACTTAGTTGCCATATGATATAGTACCTCACTAGGGCCAATATTTTGCAATGATACCTAATGGTCCAATATTGGGTTATTAGAAATTTCTCTTATATCCATTTTGTAGGTGATAGATAAGCTCTTTATCTATGGCATTAAGCAATGTTCTTGGTGTTGAAGATTTGAACATATCTCGAGGAATATATTTCCATATCTTAGTTGAAGATATGGAAATATATTCCTGGAGATATGTACGGCGCACGACTTAAGAAGTGAAAAATTTACACATGTTCCACTTACCATGAAAGACAAAGTTGACCTATGATATAGTATCTCATTAGGGCTTGTACTTTGCAATGATGCCTCCAATTCTAGGGTTTTAGAAATTTTCTTTTATCAATTTTGTAGGTGATAGATAAATTTATGGTTTTAAGCAAGGTTCTTGTCGTTGGAGATTTGTGCATTCTCAAGAAATATATTTCCATATCTTTGTTGAAGATCTGAAAATATATCCCTTGAGATATGTAAATCTCAAGAGATATATGTCCATATCTTCAACATTTGGCACTAATATGGCATTAAGCAAGGTTCTTGTTGTTGGAGATCTCAATCTTCTCAAGGAATATATTTTCATATCTTTGTTGAAGATATGGAAATATATCCTTTGAAAAAGAAAAATCCTTAATTAAGACAATATTAAAATTTATTTTTATTATTTTGTTCTCTTTCGTTTTTATATTTAAGACAAGTGATTCATCAAGTAATATCTTCTGCAAATTCAGAAGATCTTATCTTAAAGGTTAACCTAGAATATCTTTTCTATGTTCATTGTCTATTGTCTATGTTCAATCTTCAAGGCCAAGCCAATGGATCCAACACCAATGGCTCCATCCTCTAGACCAGATTGGAATCAAGACAGTGTTTTAAAGGGACTCTCTAGAATCCCGAGCCCAAGTCAAGCAACTCGAGTCGCATGACTTCCTCAGAGACTTGGCTGAGTCTTAAAAAAAATTGAAAAATAAAACCTTGGTAACCAATGAGATTCGGCCAATTTTCACGGTTTTTATTGCAGACTATCGAGAGTAACCCGGATGAGTCAGAGTTCGACTCGTCAAACATAAACTTGGGAATAGAAATCACAACGTGATGACTAAAATGTGGGTGTGCTACACTTAAGTTTTTCATCCCTTTCCCATTTTAGTAGTATGTTGAAAACCAAGGGACCACCACTTTATCAATCATGGACAAATCTGGGCAATCTTTTAGAATCTGGGTAAAAAAAATAGCAGCTTTTAGAATCTCAACGCTTTTCCCTTTCTTTCCAAGATTTATTCGTTGTTCTCCTGCATGGAAGGAGGACATTGCCGCTTACTAAATATTATTCCTTTCCAACAAAGAATAAAACATGTTTTATTGCTCCTTTTCCTTTATTCTTCTTTTCCAAACTGTTGGTATATAATACACAGTGAAAAGTAATGGGAAAGCTGAGTTGACCATATTCATCGAAAATTCAAATATAAAAAAAAGAAAAATGAGGGACAGAATAGTCATTTTGAATCTTCTTCCCCATTGTTTCATGCAAGAGAACTCAAATGACCTGTAATGTAAATTCCCAACATATATTTTTGAAGTTGAGAATAGCACAAGCTTAATGTCAGGTATGTAAAATCTCTTTTCCATAATATGGGCAAAATATGTATTTTCAATAATAAATGTTTTCATCGGTCTTTGAAAACTCAATTGGTAGGGTGGATCATCTGACCAATAATTCCATGTCAGATCGCCGAAATGGTCCAAATTGGCCATTCAGAAAAATATTAAAAGATGAAAAGAAAATATAAGATAAGCTAGAAAAAAACATTAGGGAGACCTAAGAAAGTATCTGATAAGCTAAAAGAAAAAGCAAAAAAAATATGTATCGATGATTCCCAATCCGGATTGCTGGTTTTTCAAACAATAGATTTCCTTAATAATTCCATTTTTTTATTTTCCCTTATTTCTCTATTATTCTTCTTAAACACAAATAGGCCACGAAAGTTTTTTTTTTTGTTTGGTCTATATTTTCATTATTTCTATTTGCGTTATACTTTTCATATGGTTGTTATGATTATAGATTATTTCATTCTGTGTTTTGTATCATAAGTTTTATATAACTTTTGATGTCCACAACTAGAATTTTACTTTGTTGAAAACCATATTTAAACAAAGCAGGAAAGAAAATCATCAAATAAAATCTTTTTTTTTTCATTTTAATTACATCAAGGAGGTTAATCAAGTAGCCCAAGGCTTCCTATTTTTTCAGGTGGGCCTGAAGTCGGAGGCATTCAACTTAACTTTACGATTTTCTTCACATATAATATTACATACTGTACTTCTCATATTTCCCAAATGATTTCATGCTTCCCCATGAGCATATTTTATACGTCTCATATAAAATAACATCATGAGATTGAACAATGATCATCTAAATTTATGACAGTGATGTCTAAATATTTAAAAGTTTGGTTTCGATTGTTTTGAAAATAATCATCAAGTGATTGTTAGGTTGATCCGAAATTTTAAGATTGAAAAAATTCTCCAAAATAGTTCTTTTGCCTGAGGGAGTTAATGTATAATATGTTCCCTCATCATATTTTCATTTTACCTTGGTAAATGTTGATGTACTTCTAATTTTGTGCATCTTTTAACTAATGTCTATTTTATGGTTTGGTGTTCCAATGGGCAGTTATACACAGGGGAACTGATGGGTAGGCACTCAAAATTCGAGACAAATTACCGATATGTAGCTCTTTTCCATTACTAGGTACTCGAAACTCCGGAATTTATAGCTCATCCATGGTAGAAAGAACAAAATAGATGGTCTAAATCGCATAAAAAAACTGTGGTTCACCACATGCATCAATCTCAGCTAATTGTTGATCGGAATTCCAAGTAATCTTTATGGTCTAAGTCACCTAAAAACAATACAGTCCAGCTTGACTGATACCGTGGAAACCCCACTCCCTCTCTCTCAAATATACTTTGGGTTGATTTAAAATTTGGGCATCAATATTTTTCACAGTCACGTACTTGTAAAAGTTATAAATAAATAATGATGGAAATACTTACTGAAATTTTTAGAGGTATCTTGATCATTTTATTTTTTATAAATTATTTTTTATATTTTTATTGATACGGCCTAATGTGGCTCATGCACCTTAAAATTTGATCTTAATTATTGGAAAAATAAAATTGAGACACTAAAAAAGGGTGAGTGCAAATGAGATTTTGAGCTTCTCATTTTTTAGAAATTTGCAGCTTCTCGGGGAGTGAAAGTCAGCATTTCTCATTTTGGAGAAATGCAGACATCTCCCTCGACGTTTTCATTGTGCCAAACTAGCAATTGCTATAGAAATCGTGAAGTCTCAATTTTGGCACCGAAATTTCTTGATTGCCAAACGACCCTAAAATTACCCAAATGCTTGCTCTCACTCTTCTTTCCATCACTATCCATCCGTTGATTGGGCGATTTTGATGATTGAATCCATAACTACTCTATGATCAAAAGGACCATACTATAATTTTTTCGTTTCTTGTTTTGTAAACATTTTTCTTTGTGAACTTTGTTCCCAGCCCCCAACACACTAATATGTCATTCGGTGTCTCACTAGTAAATCACATACTTATATACACACTACATCACAGTAGGAGTTACAATAAACTCATAAGTGAGACATGCCAAGAAGTCAAATTTCGTAAGATTCTTTAGTTGTCGATGCTTGTTGTCATTAGTGTTATCAAGATCGGATTAGCTATTGAACTAGTGCAAGGTCTAGCCCATTCAAAATCGGTACAGACCACTATCAAACTGATTATAATAGATTTTAAAAATACAAAGAAAAATATGAATGATAATTTAAAAATATATAATATATCAAAATTGCCCAATTTTGTTCGGCTGGAAACAGACGGTCGGACCAATCAAATACTGGTGTTGACTAATTTTTCATGAAATCCTGATTTTTCCTTTGGATCAAACCAAACAAAACACACATCAGCAGTCTGACCCATCGGCCCGGTGCTCCAGTTCATTCTTGATAACTATGGGCCCCATCACAACCATCCATTTACCCAGAAGATAATATGCAGCCATTAAAGGAGGAATCAGATACTCCATCTTTATTGTCCCATAGCAAACCAAAAAATTTGGTCCCTCATCCATGCAATGCCATTGCAATTCAATCTGAACCATCCGATTTCTACAAAGGATATCCAACCACACAAGTGGATCCTCACTTATCAGGAGTTCAGGACCATCAATGCTCTATATAATCTCGCATGGCTCCCATATGAGCCTCGAGGTGAGCTCTTTTGAATAAAATCTCTTAAAAAGAGAGATCTTTTTCTATCTATTTTTGCTAGTAAGGCAAACAAGCTTTGGCCTATTTAGAATGGAGAAGGCTTTTATATGGTTGTGTAGAATGCTGTATGTTTTAGTGGCTTGGAGTGGGGTGGTTGTTAATGGAGAGAAAAACATACTTTTTGTGTTTGGGGACTCAGTTATTGACAGTGGCACCAACAATTACATACAAACTACTAAGGCACATCAAGCTAATTATGTTCCTTATGGCATAGACATGCGCCCAGGCGCGAGTGGCCGTTTTTCCAATGGCTTTGTCATGACAGACTACATAGGTATCATTTCCTCTTCTTCTGCTGCTGCTGCTTCTTCTTCTTCTTCTTCTTCTTCACTTTCACACCACACAGAGCATTCTTGTTAATGTCACATTTTTGGAATTAAATCTAAAGTACGCATTTTGGCCTAATCTTTTCTTCTTCTTCATTATATGCGTTTCTTTTGGTTTTCCTCTCATCGTTATTTGACATGAGTACTAACTTTTCAGTAATTGTCCCCTCTATGAAAATGTTATGAACATAATGATGTTTCTAGAATTAAATCTAAGTTACTGGTTTTCTTAAAGCATGGAAAATCACATGTGCTGATCTTCTTGTTCTTATTTTTCTCCTTCTAAGGTACTCATTTTTCTTAAACCATGAAAACTCATATACTTCTTCGTGTTCCTTTTTGTTCTCCTTATTTATGATACTATATTGCTTGCGAAAATGACTTTACCAATATATTTTGAAGAGACTGAATGAATGTATTAAATTTTGAAGAAGTTATTGTGGTAAATAGTCTTTCTACTCTTTGTATAAGAGCACTCTTTTTTTTCTCTGACCCATGATCTTGTAGTTTTGTTTACATCCCCAAAAACTCGAATCCTTTTCCTATTTCTCTTAAGCACTTCCTTCCATTCTTTTTGGGACATCCAAAAAGGTATTGTTTTTTTTATGAGCAACATAATTTGAAGATATGGAAAATGATTCTATAAGCGAATGCGCTTATTTTATATTAGAAAAAAGTTTATAATGTACGTGATTCAAAAGTTGGTCTTTTAAACCGCTCAAATGAACAGTTTTTTTAATGTTTTAAACCATTTGAAAGTTAGACTTTCAAACAGCCCAAAGTTATATTTAGTGCAATCAAAAGTTTGACTTTCAAACTACTTCAATACATATAGGTGGTCTAAAAGTTAGATTTCCAAACTGAGGATAAAATGAGAAAAAAAATCTCCCAAAAATCAGACCTCAACATAATGAGGCCCAATATGTGGACAATAATGGTAATAACCAATTTTTTAAAATCCATCTGTAAATTTCTCTAAAATAGAAAATGTTATGGAGATGAAAGTCTATAAAATTGAGTATTTTTGTCTCTCCATGTGTGCATGGAGAGAGAGAGAGAGAGCCACGCCTCACTTATCATCTCTCTCATGTTCATCAATGCAATCTTTCGATTTGTTAACAAAACTCATTTACAAATGTATCGGCCTATACTCCATTAAAAAACCAAAGAAAAATTACGTCCTCATTGGTATACATTTTACATAATGCTCCATTTTTTTCAGAATTTATGGGTAGGTCCTACCCTTTTCTATTTTATTTTTTTCTGTTTAGTCCTTGATCCAATATTTGGAACATCAAACTAGTTTTTTTTTTTTTTTCTTGGATTGTAGGGGTATTTGGGAGGCTAGGGGGTTGATTATCTTTAAGTTAGGTAGTTTGATGTCTCAAACATTGGACCCACCCACCTCTATAAGGCACTATCTCGCTTCTGGACCTTTTATTTGATATCTAAAAGCTGGTTCGATATTTCAAATATCGAACCGACCCAATTATATTATCAGATTGATGGGGTCGGTCTGATGTCCCAAATATCGAACTAGCTATTGGGCTTAAAACAAAAGACTCCAGAAATTAGCCTAATATTTCAAACATTGGGCTGACCACAAAACCATATATATTACGGTGTGGTTGGTTTGATGTTTGGGACATCGAACAATCCCATTTGAGTTCACTGCGATATTTCAAACATCAAACCATTTCCTAATTGACCTCGAAGCTTTTGGACGATGCCATAGTTCAAGAAAATGAAAAACTAAAATAAAAAACTGATGTGATGTATGCAACAATTACCTAGGGTAAAACTAAAAAAAACAAAATTAAAAAAAAAAAAAGTAAATAAAAACTCCACATAAATTTTTGGAAAGAATTGGGGTATTTCGTAAAAAAAAAAAACTACCTGCACGGGCGTAATCTTTCCTTAAAAAGAAACACAATTCAAGAAAGTGTAGGGAGCTTTACATAAATTCATATCCCTTGTAATTGCGGAGGAAGCTTTAGAGACCCCTGTCTAGCTGAGCAGATTGCTGATGCAAATCTCTCGCTCTTGAGAATGGGGTTAGTTCCTCGTAGCAGTACCATTTGTGCCCTAGCTAAGATTTAAGCTTTCATTCTCATTTAACGTATTCAAACATCACAAACAATTTCAAAAAAAACGGGCAAGGACTCTCATCCTCACTTAATTACCCAAAAATATAAAAGCTCTCTCTCTCCCCTGATCACTCTTGATCCATTCTCTTTCTGCCCTCCTTAGCTAAGGAGACTGCTGATGCATCTCTCTCTCATATTTCCTGTTCCATGTAATTCTCAGCAAAAAAAGCGAAGATCCCGTTGATCAGGCCTTACCTTGAACCGCATGCGGATCATTCATATGGAGCCAACTTTGCCTCTGGAGGAGCGGGAGTTCTCAATGAAACTAACCTAGGGGAGGTATCCTCTCACCCTTTATTATTATTGAAAGCACTGTACGACTCGCCAAGGTACTCGGTCCTTGTCCGACCTATGTAACTTGGTTGAGTCGAGTTTACATCTCTTTGGCTCTAAAGAATTGAAAAAAACAAAAGTACTTTGAAAGATAATTAATATGTAGTAAAAGTAAATTAAAATCTAAAACTAATTAAGAAAAGTTATAGCAAGCTTAAAAATATAGAGAGAAACATATTTAAAAAACCGATTAGGATATTTTAAGGGATTGTATACAATGAGATCATTTACTTTTGATATAGGGAGGTCACAATTACTTATAACCATATGAAGTGAAATAGGGAGGTCACAATTACTTATAACCATTTGAAGTGAAATATAATATCTTAAATGTATTACAGAGTTCGAGAAAAAATCTTTTGGAGCCTAGTCAATAAAATAAATATAGCAGCCCAATTTCACATCTAATGGTCAAGATTGATTGTGACCATCTTGTATCAAAGGTAAATGGTCTCATTATATACTTTTTCATAATTTAAAAATGGAAAATTGTTTTATAGGGTCGCAGTGCTATCAAAATAAGCAAAGCCCCACTTTATAATTCAACAAAAATTACAATTCAAGCATTGGAAAACGTTTAAATAGATCATTTCGGCTTGAACATATTAGTTGTGAAAAAAAATAACATTTTAAGATCTAAAATTGTGTATATTGCAACAAATTATCTAGACTGTCCATTTCACTATAAAATTAAATGTCTATAAGTCCGCAAGATCTGTACCATTTTTTTAGTTTCAAATTTTATTATCAGTGTTAGATATTAATTTAGATCTATCATGAAGATTTCTGTTGCCAAAATGCTTTTCAAACAATGATTTAATGTGAGGTTTTTTATTTTGTTTTTATAAAGTCTAGGCCCTATAGAAACTTCATCTTTTAAAATTTTTAAAGAAGAAAAAATACAAAAATAATGATTAGGACAACATAAACTCACCAAATTTTACCAAATACATCCAAAACATATTAACAAATATTATAAAACAATCTTGCATGTTTTAAGCTTTTTTAAGAAATTTTTTTTACTTTTTTATCCCTAATTTGTTCATCGAACTTAGGGATGGTGAGGCCGAGTAACTCACCCAAGCCTGAGTACAGACGGGCAAGTCACGGTACACTTGTAGAAGTATGCTATAATCTGTACGACCATAGAGGTCGAATGGTCATAAGTGCCATCACTCTCCACAAGATGTGTGAACGGTGATGGCACTAGAGTAGACCCGATAGAGATGACTTGATCCAAGTGTCAAGTCCCACTCCACGTCCATCATTGTTGATCTATTGATTGGACGGTGTTGAGACCAGCTCGGCAGAAAATAACTACTAGGATCCTATGCTTAGGAGATTCACCTCCTCTTTGGGCAGCTCCATCCGAACCATTAGGGTCATAAATCCGATTTGACTCTGGTGATTCTTAATCGACTAGGCAATTTTTAATTATTCCAACTCTTTTCCCTTCTTTTATATATATATATATTAATTGACCTTTTCCAACACAAGATTTATAGGTTAATTGAAAATTTCAGGTTGTGAGCATGTATATGCAAATCGAGCAATTCAAGGCATTCAAAAAGAACTTCACAGCAAACTTGGATCAATCAGAAGCTCATGAGTTAATTAAAAATGCTGTTTATTTCATAAGCGTGGGAATTAACGATTACAAGGTGTTTATCAACAACTATTCAGCATTAATAGCAGACTATAATCCGGCTACTTATGTTCGAGCTGTAGTTGGCAATTTAACGTTCGAGATTATGGTATGTATCATGTTTTTTTTTTCTTTTTTTTTTTATGCGTGGGGTTTCAAAAACTAGTGAGAATAAGTATTTCAATAAAAAATCAATAAAATTTAATGCTCTATATGGGTGATATCACATCTCACCTCTCATGATAATTAAAAATACATTTATTAAAAAAATATTTTATTATAAAATAATGGTATATAAGTATCTAAATTTTGTTGACTACAATTATAAAATGCTCTATAGTGTAAGCACCCTAATATAACTATATAAAGTTTTGTTAGACTACTCCTATACATCGTGTATATATTTAATGTACTAGAGAATTTTTGACACTTGTTACTTTTATCTTTTATATATATATATATATATATATGACGACCTACAACTTTTTCCAACTTGGTCAAATGCCTAATAGTAGCGAACAAAACAAATCATAAGCAAACATGAGACGTATTTGTTAAGTCACAATCACTTACATGGTTGTTGTCAACTCACTCACAGTTATCAAATCATTATTAAATCTCTAAACTAGTTTTTTAAAAATCGACGAGTCGACTCGGGAGCTGGCACTGCCCGTACGAGTTCCATCATAAACCAGGAACCGCCCGCGGTTCTAGAGTAGAACTGTCGGTTCCCATCCGATTCAGCCGGTTCACACACGTGCCCTAGTTCGTCCGTACGCACTCACACGCGCGCACGTGCAAGGTTGCCCCAATATTTTTGAACATCGCCCACTTCTAGAAGAGAATCGGCGATTCCGGCCGAATCACTGTATAAAATCGAATGGTGACGTCATGTCTCGGCATGTATGACGTTTCCAAGGGTAATTGGAATATTTGTCTTAAAAATAAAGGTAATTTTCGACATTGTTGGACGGCAGCACCACATTCACATACAATCACGTGTTACCCCATGTACCGTTCGCTCACACGCTGTTGAAGAGCTCATCCTCACATCTTTTATAAACTTGGAAGTCGCTTGATATTTCCGATGTGGGACAATTCCCACTTGCCTTCAAGCCATCGTCACACAAGCCATTACCTAATAAACGGCCATATAATTTTTCTAAGCCATTAACTATTGCAAGCCATTGTCCATATGTGTAGCATTTTAATTTAACGTGTCAAATTAATAGCACTAATAAACGGCTATATAAAATTAAAAAATAAATTAATAGTACTCATTAATTTAGTGTGTCAAATTAAACAATAGCCATATAAATTTTTTTGATGTTTATTAGTTAAATAGTTTTTTCGATGGGTTTTATTACAATATTTCTGTATTTTTATTTTTATTTTTTTGTAGCTATTGTGCATATTGCCGATATGATTTTTTTTTTAAATTTTGGCATCTTTATTTTTCATTTTTTTGGGTAAAGTTATTTTGAATTTTTTAATATAATTACATTAGAAATTATTGGTGGTTTTATTTTTAATTTAGTCATATGATATGGAAGACTCTTCTAATAATTTTTTAATCACTTTTCAATTAGATAATATTCTAAAATATTTTCAATTTGTTATTATTTGTCTAATAAAGTAATTATAAAATATAAATTAATAATTATAATTTCAGTATATAATATTATAATTAGTTTGGTTGTAATAATTTTAGATTATAGTTAGTTAGGCTATAATAATTTAAGTTTTTTTAGCGGATTAGGGTTTTTTGCCAAAACGAGATTTTAAAGGCCATTCTTTCATTGATTAGTCTACACTTTATAATAATCCATGTATAATTATATATTTTATCCATGATAATTCTATGATTTTTTTTTATGTGATGCAAATTTAATATTTAAGTTTATACAGGGAAATAGAATCTTAATATATACAAATTGATGAGAAAAATGAAAGTTAATAATGTGGTACCCTCATTTCTTATTGGATTCCTAAAAAACAACATTTATAATGAATTTTAATCATTTGTTTGGATTTTTTTGAAGCTTTAATCAGACCGATTCAACCGATTCCCAATCCGCATCGTCGATTTGCCGATCTGGATCGGATTTTGAGATGCCTGATCCGGATCACCGATCCGCTTTTTAAACCATTGCTCTAAACCAGCGTTTTAAAAAACGCCGAGTCGAACCAGACTCGCCCGGTTCGACTCGAAAATCGTGAAAAGGGACCGGATCGCTCAAAAAATCGGATATCGTCCGATTCTAGAGAGAACCGGACGAATTCTGTACAGTGAATCGTCGATTCACTGTACGGAATCGGCGAGTTCGAACAGTGAATCGGCGATTCCGTACGGAATATTTTTTTTTCTTTTTTTTTTTT